TTGAACAACCTAGAACAAGCTCTCTAAATTTAATTCAATGGCAGCCTTAAGAATTAGGAGAATAGATCAATCTAAGCAACAATCACGCAAGCTCGGATTATTTAACTTAGGTTATGTTATTCAAGACAATAGACCGAAAACTTGTCCATAATCAGCTATCATCATGTGTCACTCGTTGAATAGAAAAAGGACAATTACGGATCACAATTCCTAATTCTAACAGGTAAATTCTGATTAAACAATTTAGCAGGCCAAAACTAAATCACTCAAACAAGAATCACAAACAATTAAAACAGAATAACATAAACAATTCCAATAAAAACGAGATTAAGAACAATGTTACTAAAGTTAGGTTACACCAATGACATGAAATTAGGCTTCAAAATCCCCTTGAACTGAAGAAGGAAATTAGCCGCACATCTTGATCTAGAACGCAAAAACTCTCCAAAATTAAAACTCTACTGTCCTCCCCCCATTTAACCTAAAAACTTCTAATTAAATAACATGTGTTTTCCTTAATTCTTCCCCAAGAATCACGGAATTTCTTTCCTAGACGTTTCCTAGAAGATAGACTTCCAGATTTGATAAAATCTGATCAGATATGGATTCCAGAATTCGTCTCCAGCTTGCACCAGGATTCTCACAATGTAAAAGATCTTTTCTGGGCTCCATCACTTCATAAAAATTGTAGTCCAGGATGTGTATATGAATCTGGGCTTTTGAATCACCCGTTTTCGATATCTGACGCTCCAGTTAGGCCCGTTCGAAGATTCAATACTCAGCTAAGGAATCCTTCCGCGACTAGGATTCCAGGTCCGGTTTTGCAACAACTACTGAGAACCCAAACGAACTCGGATTCTTGCCCATAATACCTTCCTGAAAAGCTTGATTCGTCTACTTTAATTTCTCTGAAGAACACTTTTGCAATTGAGGAATCTAGCTCCCTGAAAAACCTGAAAAACGTAGCACTGGTCAGAATAACGAAAAATCTGGAAAATCTGGAATTTCCTAATCTTTTCTCAATTATTTCCTAAAGTCTATCCAAATATGCCAAACTTACAAAATAAACTCTAATCAACTCAATTAGGCATAAAACATAACAAAAACATAATATGATAGGAATAAAAAATATGTAAATTACACTCTTATCAAACTCCCCCACACTTAGCTTTTGCGCGTCCTCGGGCAAACTAATTCAAACACTAAAGAAAAGCTACACTCAAGTCATATCCAGAACACCATCATGATGCATAAGCAACACTATTTAATCCATGCATATTCATACCTAGCTTAGGAAGCAACAAAGATAAAATAAAGTAGAGCTAATGACATTCGTATCTCTTTATCATTTTCCACAATTACTCTGAAAGCCAAACTTGGCGCAGCCAAGGGGAATTGGGCCGACGACCTCCCCAAAGTCTTATGGGCATACAAGACAACTCCGAGAACCTCCACCTCAGAAACCCCTTTTTCGCTAGCATACAGTTGCGAAGTGATGATTCCTGTGGAGGTAGGAACTGGTTCGCTTCGGAGGGACTTGTACGGTGAGGCCGACAACGAGGCTCTAATGAGAGCAAGTCTAGACCTTGTTGAAGAACGTCGTAGCAGGGCATCGCTAAGAATAGTAGCCTATCAGCAACGCGCAAAGAGGTTCTTCGATTCTAAGGTTAGACGAAGAGACTTCCAGGTCGGCGACCTTGTAATAAAGGAAGTTCTTCTCGGTACTAGGGAACCAAGTACAGGAGTGTTGGGACCAAACTGGGAAGGTCCATACCGCATCGACAAAGTGATAAGACCGGGGACTTATCATCTCAAAAGGCTGAATGGTTCCAAAGTACCCCGAGCTTGGAATGCTAAGCATCTCCGACCTTACTATCAGTAATTCCGAACTCAGTTTTCCTTGTAAATTAATTTTTTATCTTTGTAAATTATTTCCTTGTAAAGTATTGTTCTGTTCGCTTCTAACAGTCTTCGCATGTAATCTTGCTCATATAAATGTGTAATCTTGTTCGCATATACTTGTTCCAATACTGTAAGCAATCAAAATGTACTCATGTATAATAAAGCGAATAGAAATTGTAAAAGCAAAATGTATTTTATTAATGTGAAGAGTACAGTAGGCAAAATGATAAGACTATTAGCCCTAATCTGACTCCTCGAGGACCGACCTCATCATCCTAAGGCTGGTCGACTGTGGGCTTATTCGAGGCATGTCCCGAGCCCTCTGTCCAATCAGATTTTCGGGCGGGCGCCACTGCATCATCCTCCCGCACCATGGACCTGAGAGTTTCCTGCCAATCCTCCGGGAGGTCAGACATATCAATATGCGGGTTCTTCAGCTGCAAGGCATAGATAGACTCGATTGCCCACTCGGCAGCCTTCTCCTCGACCTCCTCTGCCTGCCTCTGCATCTCTTCGGTCAGGGAAGCGACCTTTCCCTGACTTATCTGAAGTTCGACCTCGAGAGCTTGCCATTATTTCTCGAAGGCATCCCTTTCTTGTTCTACTCGCCATGCTCGCAGAGAGGTCGCTTTGAGCTCCTGATCCTTCTTTCCGACCTCCTTGGAGAGTCTAGCTATGGTCTTTTGAAGCTCCTTTATTTCCTCCCCATGTCTCTCGAGCTCCGCCTTTTGGAAGTCCACCATGCGAAGAGTCGCGTCCCTTTCATTCAGGTACCGGTTTGCCAACTCAAAGGACAGGTTTCTTTCTATTTCGACGGCTTCTAGGCTTCGCTTGAGTGATGCGTTCTCTTCCTTCAGTGCGACCTCTCCCTTTGCAGCTCCCAGCCGAACCTTCTCCAGGGAAAGCTGCATGGTAAGCAGGGCTTGCGAACAAGGAAAAATAGCAAGTTTATATAAGAAACTAAGGGAAGTCCTCGCCAAGGGCAGTTCATTTACCTTGCTTAAGTGCTGGACAGATGTGGACATTAGGTCCACCTCGCTAGAGCCTACAGACTGCTCAAATACCTCCGAGAGTCCGCACTTTAACAAAGTGTAGACTATCGACTACAGGTACTCCAGCAGGTTTGCCAGTGAGTCTAGCACTGGAGTATCCTCCTTCGCGCTTTTCGTAGGGGTCATTTTACCCGTCGGTTCCTTACCCGACCTCCTCCCGACATCTGGCTGCGACCTCTCGAGTTGATCTCCCTCAGATTCGGTCTCAGACTCTTCAACCTGAATTTGCTTTCTCTTCTTTGGTCGCTGAGCCGTTGTCTTTAGCCTCGGGCGAACAGCGATGGCTAAGAGGCCTTCGTGGATCGGATCGGTGCATCCTNAAACATTAAGGGGGGTAAATATGACATTTTGCATTCCCATCAGTGGTCCAAAAAGTCCTCCACATGCATAGGTATGACAGAAGGTTAGAATAGGGGTAAATTCATGTTCAGGTATGCACCTTCTTATCACTTGGTCAGCACAATGCTTCCACAAATATGGATCGTCCCAGGCATAATACTTAGCATCACTCTTGATCTTGTCCTTTTGAGCTCTAGTCAAATCATTTGGCAACACGTTAGTAACTAAAAAATTTACAATATCTGCATACCATGGTGACGCCATTTCAATGGAAAACAATTGCTCATCCGGAAATGTTTCTTGCAAAGGAAGTTTATTGCTGCCACGAACCAAACAGCTAAGGTGATCTACTACAACATTCTCTGCTCCCTTTTTATCTTTAATCTCCAAATCAAATTCCTGGAGGAGAAGAATCCACCTAATTAGCCTTGGTTTTGCCTCCTTCTTTGTGCGTAGGTACCTAAGAGCTGCATGGTCAAAAAAAACAATGACTTTAACACCCAACAAATATGACCGAAATTTCTCTAAAGCAAAAACAACAGATAAAAGTTCTTTTTCAGTGGTAGAATAATTTAGCTGGGCGCCATTCAAGGTCCTGGATGTATAATAAATGGCGGGACACGCTCTGCCACCTTGTTGACCCAAAACAGCACCTAATGCAAAATTGCTCGCATCACACATAATTTCAAAAGGTAGCTCCCAATTAGGTGGTTGAATCACTGGTGCTGTCATCAACAATGTTTTCAGCTTGTCAAATGCCTTCTTGCACTGCTCATCAAACTGAAAATCCACATCTTTTTGTAACAATCTACATAGGGGCAATGCAACTTTGGAAAAATCCTTGTTAAATCTCCGATAGAAACTTGCATGGCCAAGAAAAGATCGAACTTCTCGCACAGTGGCAGGGTAAGGCAAAGCTATAACCAAATCTATCTTAGACTTATCAACCTCTATTCCCTTAGATGAAATAATATGCCCCAAAACTATACCTTGCTCTACCATAAAATGACATTTTTCCCAGTTAAGTACAAGGTTAGTTTCCATGCATCTGTCTAAAATCAGTGTAAGGTTATGCAAGCACTTATCAAATGAATCACTATAGACACTAAAATAATCCATAAAAACCTCTATGATTGATTCGACATATTCTGAAAAGATACTTACCACACATTGCTGAAAAGTGGCTGGAGCATTGCAAAGACCAAACGGCATTTGACGGTAGGTGAAAGTACCAAATGGACATGTGAATGTCGTCTTCTCTTGATCTTTCAGGGCTATGACAATCTGGTTATACCCTAAAAATCCATCAAGAAAACAGTAATAAATATGACCAACTAACCTCTCAAGCATTTGATCAATAAAGGGAAGTGGAAAGTGATCTTTTCGAGTTGTTGAGTTCAACTTCCTGTAATTAATGCATACGCGCCAACCTGTCTGAATACGTGTAGGGACCAACTCATTGTCTTGATTTTTCACCACTGTAACACTAGATTTCTTAGGGATAACTTGCACTAGACTTACCCACTTACTGTCGGAAATTGGATAAATTACCCTAGCATCTAAAAGCTTTAGGACTTCTTTTTTCACCACATCCATCATTGGGGTATTTAATCTTCGTTGCGCTTCTCGTGTCGATTTGGCTCATTCTTCTAACAGAATCCGATGCATGCATATGGAAGGACTAATCCCCTTAATGTTAGCTATGGTCTAGCCAATCGCTTCCTTATGCTCCCGCAACATTCGAACTAGTTTCTCTTCTTGATTGGGTGTTAACTTCTTCAACACAATTACCGGCAGTGTTTCATTATCTCCCAAGTACACATACTTCAAATGGCTCGGTAATGGCTTCAACTCTAGTATAGGGGCTTGCAAAACAGAAGGCAACAATTTCTGGTGAGAATCATGGAGCTTTATAAAAGAAACTCCATACCTTTCTGGAATCGGTTTTAAAGAATGTAAAGCTACTACTGTCTCCTTCAATTCTTCACTGAGCTCCATCTCTCCTTTCTCCTCTGATTCCACATGTTTGAGAAGGGCAACTTCTAACTCATCTACATTATTCAACTCAAAGATCTCTTGCACTATGGAATCAACGGGATCAACAACATCAATAGCAAAAATAGATTGAACATCAGTTGGATATTTCATGGCATCAAAAATATTAAAACGAATTACTTCACCATCAAATTCCATCGTGAGGGTACCATCATGAATATCTATTTTTGTCTGAGCTGTATTTAGGAATGGTCTTCCTAGTAAGATAGGTGTAGGGTCAGGAGAAGAGGAATCATCCATATCCAGAATGTAGAAATCAACTGGAAACACTAGCTCATTGACCTGCACAAGAACATCCTCAACTACCCCTTTAGGGTATGCATTAGTGCGATCAGCCAATTGGATAATAACACCAATATCTTTGACAGGACCTAGATTTAATGAAGCATAAATAGATCATGGCATAACACTAATTGAAGCTCCTAAATCTAACATAGCTTTCTCAATCTCGGTGTTACCTATCTTACACGGAATTGTAAACATACCTGGATCCTTGCATTTGGGAGGAAGTTTTCTTTGGAAAACTGCTGACACATTTTCTCCCATTATTATCTTCTCATCATCGTTCAACTTCCGCTTATTGGTGGATAGCTCCTTAAGAAATTTTGCATACCTTGGTACTTGCTTAATTGTATCCAACAGAGGTATATTCACTTCCACCTTGCGAAACATCTCCAAAATTTCTTTATCCTTCTCTTCTTTCTTTGACTTCGCGAATCTACCAGGAAAAGGTAAAATATTAGATTGAAGTTGAATTGAAGGGTTATGAATTACCTTTGATTCAGTTGTAGCCTCTTCTTTCTCAATTTCGTCTTCAATCTCTGCTTCCTTTGCTACACTTTGATTGTCTAGTTTTGGTTCTTCCATTTTCTTGCCACTTCTTAGCGTCACTGCATTCACATTCTCCTTTGGATTCACCACTGTTTGAGAAGGCAACTTCCCTCCAAATTTAGCCTCTAAACAACTTATAACAGTTGCCATTTGACCCATCTGATTCTCCAAACTTTGAATACTAGATCTTGTATCTTGTTGAAACTGTTTGGTATTCAAAGCAAGGGACTTAACTGTATCTTCCAGGGATGAGTTTGAACTCTGTGAGGCAGGTTGCTTTGGTTGAAAACTTTGTTGCTGTCTATTCTGGAAGAAATTTTGTCCACCTCCTACTTGTCTATTTCCTCCATAACTGAAATTTGGATGATCTCTCCAACCTAGATTGTATGTGTTGGAGTAAGGATCATGTTGCCTCGGTGGTCCAGGAAAGTTTCCTGCTACATTGACTTGTTCAGTCCCTTCCTCTTGAAGTGTTGGGCACATGTCCGTTTGGTGTCCCATTGTCGAACATATCCCACAAGCTTTTACTTGTTGCGCATTCCCTACAGCCAATTGTCTAACAAGAGAGGTAAGATTAGATAATTGTTGTTCAATGGAAGATGTACTTACCTTATTCACCCTTTTGGGTGGCGCATCATGTCTTGTACCAAACTGTTGGGAATTGGCGGCCATGTTTGAGATTAACTGTTTGGCAGCTTCAGGAGTCTTATCCACCAACGCACCTCCACTTGCTGCATCTATCATATTTCTTTCCATAGGCAACAATCCTTTATAGAGATACTGAATTAGCAATTGATCACTTATCTGGTGGTGAGGACAGCTTGCACATAGCTTCTTGAATCGCTCCCAATATTCATACAACGTCTCTCCATTATATTGCCTTATCCCAATATCTCTTTCCTAATGGTGGCAGCTCTAGATGCTGGGAAATATCTTTCTAGATACATCTTTTTCATCTCGTTCCATGTTGTGACTGTCCCCAATGGTAAATAATAGAGCCAATCCTTTGCATCATCCCTTAACAAAAAAGGAAAAGATCGCAACTTAATCTGCTCCTCTGTCACTCCAGTCGGTTTCATGCTTGAGTAGACAATGTGAAACTCCTTTAGATGTTTATTTGGATCTTCACCTGCACGACCACGAAATGTAGGCAACAAGTGAATTAGACCAGACTTCAATTCAAAAGCAACATCTAAAGTAGGGTACTGAATACACAAAGGCTACTGATTAAAATCAAGGGTAGCCAACTCATTTAATGTTCTACCAGTGGCCATCTCTTCTTCTATCTTTGAATCTGGATCACTGGATGAACTGTGGGATGTTGAACCAAGGGCTATATTTAGATCAGGAGATGAAGAACTTGCTTGACGTGACTCTTTTCGCAACTTCCGTAAACTGCGTTTGATTTTTGGATCAAATTCCAACTCTCTTGTAGAATTGGATCGAGTCATAAACCACTAAAATCACAAAATTAAGCCTAAATAAATAAATTAAAAATAATAATACAAAAATTAAAAATAAAAAAAATAAAATTTTTTCTTGACAGCAACGAAAATTGGCTAAAAACCCTATTAAATGATCGAATTTGATAACAAGAGGGTGGGGCTAGAAGTTTTCTAGTCTTGCTCAGAATGTCGTTTTCTTTGAAACGGGTACTCGCAGCACTTCTAGTTCAACCAAAATTTCTCTTAGGAATAGTACTGAATAGTACTACTTTTCATGTTGAATAGTGCTACTGTTAAAAAAAAATATTCTTTCTTTCTTTTTTTTTTTCTTCAAAAACCTAAAAATCACAATTAAACAAAATAAAAAAAAATAAAAAAAACACAACTAAGCACTGATTAAATAAAATCACAAAAAAAACGTAGAATATAAAAAAAAATCGACAAATACCACTCCCCGCCAACGGCGCCAAAATTTGGTAGCATGCCGATGCTCCAAATTAAAAACCTTCCTAACCTAACTACTGAATTGTATATAGGGTAAGCAAGGGTCGATCCCACAGGGAATGGTTCGATTAGTTTCTATGCTCTAAAACAATAAAAACAACAGAAACGCAAATTAAACTCTAAACAGTAAACCTGACAATAGTAATGAAAGGGGGGGTGTACTCAAAGCAATCTAAAGTAAAACAAATCAATCGCTAATGGTAGAAAATATTCAATTAAAAACAACCAGTTCTCGATTCAATATCCACCTAAACATGCATTAGACATAAAGTAACCGTAACACTATTCTATCTCGTCATTATGAAACTACTGACCCTAGGAAACAACAAGCCTGTTACCCAAATTCTCCCTTAGTTTGTCACTACTGAAACAAGCTCTTCGAGTAGATACTAACCCTTGAACAACCTAGAACAAGCTCTCTAAATTTAATTCAATGGCAGCCTTAAGAATTAGGAGAATAGATCAATCTAAGCAACAATCACGCAAGCTCGGATTATTTAACTTAGGTTATGTTATTCACAAGTTGGTAATGTGCCGAATGCACCAATTAATTACCTTACTGACCTAACTATTAAATTGTATAAGGGCAAGCAAGGGTCGATCCCACAGGGAATGACTCGATTAATTTCTATATTCTAAAACAATAAAAACAACTAAACGCAAATTAAACTCTAAACAGAAAACACCTGACATAGTAATGAAAGGGGGTTTGAATCAAGGCAAACAAAAGTAAAACGAGAATAAAATATACAGGTTTAAACAATCAGCGCTTGTTCAAAATCCACCTAACACTGCATTGGACATAAAGTACCGTAACACTGTTCTACTCTCATTATTATGAAACTACTGACCTAGGAAACAACAAGCTCGTTACCCGAATTCTCCCTTAGTTTGTCACTACCGAAACAAGCTCATCGAGTAGATACTAAACCTTGAACAACCTGAATAAAAGCTCTCATAAATTTAATTCAATGGCAGCCTTAAGAATTGGAGAATAGATCAATCTAAGCAACAATCACGCAAGCTCGGATTATTTAACTTAGGTTATGTTATTCAAGACAATAGACTGAAAACTTATCCATAATCAGTCTATCACATGTGTCACTCGTTTATAGAAAAGGACAATTACAGATCACAATTCCTAATTCTAACAGGTAAATTCTAATTAAAACAATTAGCAGGGCAAAAACTAAATCACTCAAACAAGAATCACAAACATTAAAATGATAACATAACAATTCCAATAAAAACGAGATTAAGAACAATGTTACTAGAGTCAGGTTACACCAATGACATGAAATTAGGCTTCAAAATCCCCTTGAACTGAAGAGAGGAAATTAGCCGCCATCTTGATGTAGAAAGCAAAAAAAAACTAAAAGAAATATTCTCTGCTGCTCCTCCGTTTAACCTAAAAAACTTCTAATAAATAACATGTGTTTTCCTTAATTCTTCCCAGAATCACGGAATTTCTTCCTAGACGTTTCCGAGAAGAGTAGACTTCCAGATTTGACAAAATCTGATCAGATATGGATTCCAAATTCGTCTCTAGCTTGCACCAGGATTCTCGCAATGTAAGATCTTTCTGGGCTCCGTCACTTCAATAAAATTGTATCTAGGATGTGTAGATGATATGGGATTTTGAATCACCCGCTTCGATATCTGACACTCCAGTTAGGCCCGTTCGAGAGATTCAATGCTCAGCTAAGGAATCCTTCTGCGACTAGGATTCCAGGTCCGGTTTTGCAACAACAACTGAGAACCCAAACGAACTCGGATTCTCACTAATAATACCTTCCGAAAAGCTTGATTGTCTACTTTATTTTTTGAAGACCACTTTGCAATTGAGGAATCTAGCTCCATGAAAACGCTGGAAAACTGCAGCACTGGTCAGAATAACGAAAAATCTGAAAATCTGGAATTTCCTAATCTTTTATCACTTACTTCCTAAAGTCTATCCAACTATGCCAAACTCACAAAATAAACTCTAATCAATTCAAATAGGCATAAAACATAACAAAAACATAATATGGAAGGAATAAAAAATATCTACACTCTTATCAAATTCCCCCACACTTAGCTTTGCACAGTCCTCGGGCAAACTAATTCAAACACTCAAGTCATATCCAGAACACCATCATGATGCATAAGCACATTATTAATACCATGCATATTCATACCTAACTTAGGAAGCAACAAAGATAAAGAAAGTAGAGTTAATGACATTCTATCTCTTTATCATTTTCCACAATACTCTCAATCAGTCATGCAAACAAGGAAACTAATCACACCAATTCATGTACAACTCACCTCTTAATTTTTCTCTCAATGTTTCTCTTTACTACTACAACTGGGTAGCAAACTAGAAATTTTTTTTCTTTTTTTTTTTTTTTTTTTTTTTTTTTTTTTTTTTTGACAATTGAGTGCATTTTATGCTCCATCTCATTTCATGTTGTGTTTATGAGTGAGTGCGTTTACGCTCCATCTCGACTCATCACATACCTTCCTTTCTTTTTATTTGCTTAAACCCAAATTTAGGACTAGCTTAAGAGAAACAATTTTTTTTTTTTTTTTAAGGGTTGTTATACACTCCCAGTCATGCTTCGTCACCAAGTTCACACAACTTATCAAGACATATTATTTCAAAACTACAAAGATTCAAATATGATTACTCTATTTTATGAAATATTGCTACATCCTAAGTCAAGGAATATTCAATAACAAAGTCAAGTTTATTCAGCATCACTAGACGTTCAAAGACATGACTTAAGCATAGACCTCCCTAAAAACAAAACTCTTTTTTTTTTTTTTTTTTTTTTTTTGAATAACAGAGACATACCTCCTAAAAAAACAAAAAAAAATTAAAAAAGAATATAAAACCAGAAAATAAAACAGAATATAAAACCATCCAAGCCTAACTTCTCCCCCACCTTAAAACTTACATTGTCCCATGTAATACCCCAAATTAGAGACAAGCAAATCTAAACAATAAAACAAAAATAAAAATAAAAATGGCAAAACTAAAAAAACTAAAGTCAAGGAAAAAAAATCAAATCTTAATTCTTGGGTGTTGGTTAACGTCGTTGGCTCGACTCTCCGCATGGTCATCACTACTCATGTATGACTCCTCCAATCCCACTCTCCTCGATAGTTAAACTTGGAACCCTTCATAGTAAGGCTTAAGCCTAGGCATTGACCTTAAACCCCTTGTTTGTTTTCAAACTCTATATTTCTACTGCACCATGGAGGAAAAACATTAGTCACAATAAAAGGTCCCACCCAAACGAGAACGTAACTTACCGGAAACACTTCAGCCTTGAATGAAAAAGAAAGACTTTCTGTCCAACTGAAAAGTTCCTTAGATCATTTGTCATGAAAGGCTTTAGTCTTTGCTTTGTATAGATTGTGAACTCGCGTAGGCATCATTCCTCAACTCCTCAAGTTCTTGCAATTGCAACTTCCTATTAATGCCAGCTTCCTTCTCTCCATATTGCAATGCTTGATCGCCCATAAGCCTTGTGCTCTAATTCCACTGGAAGATGACACACTTACCAAACACTAATCTGTATGGGGACATGCCAATAGTGGTCTTATAATGCCGGTTCTATATGCCATAATGCATCGTCTAATCTCAAGACCAATCCTTCCTGTCTGGGTTCACTGTCTTTTCCAAAATGACTTGATCTCTCTATTTGACACCTCCGCTTGGCCATGGTTTTGGGTGCTACGATGTGGAGACCTTGTGTGTGACATGATGTATTTCTTAAGCAATGCCTATTGTCCTTTGCAAAAATGAGT